AGTGATATGAAACAGCTGGGTGCAATCCGTGCTGAGTGCAATCAGTGCAATGAATGATGGGATATGTAGTCCGGGGTGATGTGCAACAGTGTGTAGTGCGAGAGTCAATGAAATTGGAAAGGGTGACCTCTGATGGCTAGCAGATGGAAGTTCATGGACCGGATTTGTGACATTTGTTATGTCGAGATCACGGGATAATTAAGTCATGATAACCACAAAGCAGCTTTTGTTATGTAGAGATTATGAGAAAATTAAGTTGTGATCACGAAAAAACAAGAAAGAAAACTAATCATAATCCATGGCCTCTTAGGATTTGCCGGAGAAATTAAGTTCAGAGCATTTAGCGAAATATTAGACAATATAATCATATTTTACTTTACCTGTTAATAATGTCTTAATTATTTAATGTATGTTTAAATAAATCTGTTATGAAACAAGTTATGACAGCCACTGTGTACATGATTATATTTCAACAACAAATAGAAATTTTATAATTTAGAAGTTAATTTAAAAACTGCATAATGTGCAATTTACATGTTTGCATACAATTTTTTAATTCAAGTGTTGATTAAATAAATGGTAGTTAAATTTAATTTTGGGCTCTGTTGTTAATTGTAACCTTATAGTAATGTAAAAGGGCTCCCAATAGTTTAGAGCAGAATTTGAGGTAGATTTTCATCCCTTACAAAATCTTAATTGTAATTAAATTTATTTAAAGAAATAGCCATTTGTTCAGTAAACCACTGTTTAATATAAAAAAAGCAATTTTATGTTTAGTCCCCCACCCCCCGCTATACCGAAACAATACCGAACTGTGCCGTCAAAACCGAGGTATGTACAGAACCGTCATTTTTGTGTACTGTTACACCCCTAATACATATATTTATTAAGCATTTATAACATGAGTTAGAAATGTCTCACTATTTGGCGCCCTTTTTATTCATGCATTTATAATTGCTTATCAATGATTTATAATGCATTTGTAAATTAGTTATTAGTCATTTGTCATTTGAACACCTTCATAAGCCCTTTACAAAGGGAACCTTAATGTAAAGTGTTACCCAAGAAGCTTTCACAATTTTCCCACAGGCAGCAAATGTCCTGATGCTGATCCTCAGATAGACCTCATCTCTGAGCACATCTTCTCTAGTAATTATTTATTCATCTAATGACAGCAATCTCCATCACCTCTGAACCAACTCAAAAACGGAAGTTATGATACTATATTATGAAATGCACAAGGCTGCAAGTGAAAGCTATTCTTTAAAATAAAGATTTATTTCCACTCACACAGATGACCAAGTTTACATAGTTGGGTATAAAGAGACAATCTGTGAAGATTACATAGTAAAGTTGTTAAGGATATAAGTCTGACTACAGTTAAAAGTGAACTTGAATTCATATCCTTACATGTATAAAAACAAACGCTGACAGAAAGTTAAACAAAATTATATATATTAACTTCTGTTCTGTTTAAATGATTATTAATATTATTATTATTAGCTGGTGTGATGCATGTTATTTAAAAATGAATGTGGGTAAAATCAAAGCATTACTTATTGATTTCAGAAAGAAGAGTTCCTCCCAGTCATTACTACAGGTCAGAAGATGGATCGCTGAACTTGGTTGGGGTTTGGGTGTGGACAGCATCACTACAGATGATAGAAACAGGATGCAGAAGATGATTAGAACAGGTTTTAGTCCAGAATCACTTCAAGGGTCTGTTGAAAAGATAACAAGAGTTACAAGAACAAATGTCCTTTACTTTGAAGGTCATCCACTATAAAGCGATTTAATGGACTACGAAGTGCTCTAATGAACTCCTCGGAAGGTCTGTTTGGGTCTGTCAATGATTCTCATTTTTATAGCTTATTGATTTATTGATTTTGTGCTTTAACAGTTATGTTTATTGTTTGTACATGAATGTAATCCACAGGCACCAGCTGACTAACCTGGTCCCAGCTCCAGCTCTTTCTTCTGCGAAAGACTCTGATTTTGTCGGACACTTTTTGGAAGTCCTGCAGGATGTTCTGGAACATAATCTTCAATGCACCTCTGACCTGATTGAACAGTTGCACATCTTCTGCTCTTTGGTTCTCCTGCCGCCAGCGATTGCATGCCATCGGGTCCACATACACCTCATGGTTCGCCATCTGTGTGGCAATGATCTGCACCCGCTTAAACTTCATCTGGATTCCGTATCTCTCACCTTCGCTGACAGATGTATCAGCCTTGATGTATGTCACAAGTGCATTTCGGAGCTCCCTCACAAACTCTCCGAACACATCAGCATTATAATCCACATAGAACTCATTTGAGCTACAGAGAAAAACACCAAAAACACAACATATGTAACTGAAACTAAAAGTGAAAAATGTCTAAATATGTCAAATAATCTCAAAAATAAAATAAAACTTAAGCTGTTTATGCACAATGTTCAGAACTAACAGTAAATGTACTAATACCATGAGGCAGAAATACTTATCAAACTCAGAAATAATTTTATAATATAATAATTATTTTTGTTAATTGTTTTTTGTTCTTTTTGCTGTTATATTTTTGTTTCTAGTTTCTTTTTGTTTTGATTTGTATTTTTTTTATAAGATTGTTCCTAAGTCTGAATTGTCTATTGCTTTTCTTCAATTCTAATTATCTTTTTTTGTTTTATTTTTCCTAGTTTTGTTTTTACTTACTCTCTCTAGTTGCATTAGACTTGTTTGTTTGATATAATTTTGTTTATATAATTTGCATCGTTTTGTTTCCTTTATTGATTTTTCTTATATATATATATATATATATATATATATATATATATATATATATATATATAAAAAAATCATTATTTTGTTTTTATACTCTTATTGTTACTAACACTAATTACATAACCACAAAATTATTATTGGTAAACTATCACTTCAACTGAAAAAAAAAATGCTCAAATGATCATAAATATCATTAAAAATGTTGGTGCTGCAAAATCAGTTATTTCATATATATATATATATATATATATATATAAATAATCACTGCCACACCCACTTGTTGGCTGATACAGCAATGATCAGGCTTAAGGATCAGATGAACAAAATGAAATGGAAACCAAGAAACAAACAGTGATAATCCACACCAAGAGAACATCCAGGTAGCAAACGTTAACACAAGACAGCGAACAGAACAAAACAAAACACAGGGCTTAAATACAGGGCAAACAAAGGATCTAATGGGTTAATTAACAAGACACAGGTGAATGGGGTCAATCAATCAAACACATAGGGAAAGTAGGTCAAACAAGCAGAGACCAACCAAACACAATGAAAACTAGGACAAAACCGAACATAATCCTGACATTGCCTCCATGGTCGTGTCGCAGGAGACAGGAGCATAAGAATAGAGAACAGTCCCTGTGGCCATGACGAGGAGGCTAGTGATTGCCATAGTGACGGCCACGAGGGAGCAGGGTGAACTTGAGATCCAATCAGCCTCCGTGGCTGAGACAAGGAACTTAGAAGCACAGGAGATACTGACGGCCTCCTCGGCCGAGATGCAGAAACTGGGACCATTTGATTCAGGAACAGTCACGTTGGCCATCAGGGTATAGCCCCACCCCAAAATTTTCTTTGTGGAAATTACGGGTATGTGTGCAGTCCAAACACATATAAAAGCCACTGTTGTTACAGTCAGAGTCTCTGTAAGCACAATGACCACAGAGCAGGACAGGTCTGGGGCTGGAGCTGTTGTGTGTGTGGCCCAGACACACACAAATGCTAGTGCCATTATGGACAGTTCAATGCTCTCTTGGCTGATTTCTGGGGCTGGAGCCAAAACTGGAGCGAACTCTAGATGCTAACTAGATGCTAGTCATTTCCACCCCGAGATGGATCTGGTGGCAGGCATGATGGCTGAAGACTCTATGGAATTGCAGGGTTTCTCGTCTGCAATCCCCACTGTAAATAGGGAGCCGCTCAACAGTAGGGCATATTCCAAGTACTGAGCTAAGGTCCAACTAGAAACACCCCCTGGCACCAGCCAGCTAAACCTAGAATACAAGCCACTCCAAAAAAAATCCATAAGTTGAACGTAGTGCTGGGCAGTTTGACCAAAAATCTGTATCACTGTTTTTTTTTTAGGATTCTGGTGGTTTGATGGTTTATCACAGTTTTTCCCTGACTGTGCCTTTATATTAATCAGAATGCGTGAAACCGTTGGAGAACCACTGCATTTTAATCACGATCCAAAGAAACATGCTAGCATGAGCAGTTTTTGATGTAAATTAGATTGTATAATTTCTAAATTAAACAGAATGGTCTGACTTTAGTTTTGTGATATGATGCTACATAAAACATGCAAACGAAACAAAAACAGCAGACGGGCGAAATGAGGCGCAAATTTCCTCTCTGACAGCAGGTGGCGCTTATGGAACTGCTGCGATATAGCGTTTCCTTGGTTACTACTGTAAACAAGAGAGCGCTGTGTTTTTAATTAAGGTCAGTGTTTTATTGGCTCTGTGAGATGGTACAAAGCGTTGTTCACAGTGGTGTAATACCACTTTAAAAAGCGTGAGGATATGTAACAACATCGTTTTGTGACAGAACTTTCACACGCTCCATTCGCGATCGCCTCCCGGGTAGCCAATCCGTGAGTGATAGTGTTCCTTTGGTCCCCCTTCGGTGCGATCACGGGGGACCCTCAAGCGCAGGGCCAGGTGCGACCGCACCAGTTGCAGCGCCCTAAGGACGGCCCTGTGATGAACTTTCATGAGGACGCAGCATAACCAGATCGGAGCTGTGACAGATCAGTCATCTCTCCTGAGCATCTTTCACACTGGCCTCTGGCCATCAGACAGTCATTACTTGATCTGGTCACGATCAAATATGTTAGCTTTGCTTGGCAGCATAAAGGAAATTTATGTTTTTATTTTTAAATGTAACTGTTTGAAAACGAAAGTACATGAGGCCTTTTGAAAGATGTCTTATCCTGTGGCTCCCTTTAGTGGACTGCAATTGTCCTTTAGAGGGGTCATTTTTGCTCAGCCAATGCAAGTCTATGGGAAATTTTTTATTATTTATACCAAAACTATAAGTCTGATCAGTTAGAAAAGATATAGCAACAAACTATAAAGGTCAAAGGTCTCAGCCGAGTTTCCTGCTTGTAGCATTAAAGCCCTAGGAGGAGACAGAGTTGAAAATGCTGGGTCTCAGAAGAAGAATAAAAAGTTTAAATAGTATAAGAGTAAGCTGGCTTTCTCAAGTAACTAATAACTTCACTAACATTAGTGTGGTGGATCAATGAATGTGGGTGAAGGGGAGAGATAAAACAGATACTGTGTGTCTCTGTGTACAGCAGTAAACCAAATACAATCTTTTTATCTCCTTGTTTCAGATTATGAAAGAGATGAGAACTCCTGGCCAGCCTTGTGGACTGAAAGTCAGGCTAGGGAACTTAAAAACAGGCACTCTTAAATGTGCATTGAAAATTGCCAGCTGATAAAACCTGGACCATATTCATATTGTCACGAATCCGGTCCATGAACTTCCAATTTCATTGACTCTTGCACTACACATTGTTGCACATCACCCCGGACTACATTTCCCATCATGCATTGCACTGATTGCACTCAGCACGGATTGCACACAGCTGTTCACACTGATTGCACCCAGCTGTTTCATATCACTCCCTCACTATTTAACACTCACTCTGATCCCTTCCCTCTGCCGAGTATTGTTTCAGTGTTTATCACTCCCCTAGTGATAGCTACACTACAGAGCCCTCAGTCATTTCCTAGCCTTAGCCTTAGCCTTAGCCTAGTTTAGCCTTGCCTTGTCTGTTTCCTTCGGTGTTGATCTCAAGCATTGTTTCAGCGTTTATCACTCCCCTAGTGATAGCTACACTACAGAGGCCTCAGTCATTTCCCAGCCTTAGCCTTAGCCTCGTTCTCGGTTTCTGATCTTCGCCTGGTTTCCTGGATTTCTCCCCTAGTCTTGCCCCTTCTGATTCTGTCTGCAGTTCATCAACCCACGCTAGCCCTAGGATTATTCTTGTGTTTTGCCCGCCATATACCTGTCTGCCTCAGTTTGACCCTGCCTGCTTTATGACCATGTCTCTGTCTTCTCCACAATAAAAGCTTTGCGAATGGATCCGCACGTCTCACGTCTCGTCAGCCCTGTAACACATATAACCAGAGGTGGATAGAGTACGAAAATATTCTAGTATATAAGTAAAAGTACCATTACATTAACGAAAATTTACTTAAGTAAACGTAAAAATACCAGTCTAAAAATCTACTCAAGTAAAAAGTCGCTCATTTAAAATTTACTCAGAGTAAAAATTACGGTTACACTTTATTTCGATAGTCCACTTTAGACATTCTATTAACTATAAGTAACTTTGTAACTACATGTCAACTAATTCTCATTAATTTGCAACTACATGTCTACTAACTCTCAGAGTAGACTGTTAGGGTAGGTTTAGGGTTAGTAGAATAAGTTGACAAAGAAAGTGTTAGAAGATATTAAGCAGACAGTCTACTAATACTCTACTAACTGCTAGTTGACATGTAGTTGCAAAGTTACTTACTGTTAATAGAATGTCTAAAGTGGACTATCGAAATAAAGTGTTACCAAAATGACTTAGTTACATTTTAACAGTGGGAGGGAGGCAAAAATGGGAGAGGCCAAGGGCGTCAAACTCCGTTCCTGGAGGGCCACAGCCCTGCACAGTTTAGTTATAACACTAATTAAACACATCTGATCCAGCTAATATAATCATTTAGGCTTATTTGAAAACTACATGGTATGTGTGTTGGAGCAGGGTTGGAAGTAAACTCTGCAGGACTGAGTTTGACACCCCTGGGATAGGCCTATAAATCGCAAACTTTTTTTTTTTAATTAAAGGAATCAGTTATTTAGAATAATAAGACATTTGGGCTGTTACCAGGCAAATTAAATCAGTATCAACAAAATTCATCTTTGCAATGCAGAGGAAACACAGAAGCTTCATCTGAAGTGGCATTTAGATGTATTTACTGTTTAATGCAGGACATTGATGCATTTTACCTGCAGTTACAAATGCAGAAATAATGTTTTGATATATTAAACATAAAATGTTGAATTCTCATTTGAAGTTATAAGGAAAAAAAACTCAAAAGATACTTTAAATGTGAAATTAAAACCACCAGTAGGTGTCAGCAAGTCACTGTTAATAAGTGAGTGATTGCGATTGAACCGAATCATTTAAATGGTTGATTCATTCAGGAACGAAACAAACGGTTGATTCATTCAGGAACGAAACGCCCTCATGTTGCTCAGAGACGCAAAACTGTG